TGGTTTAAAAAATGGATGAAACAATTAGTAAGGAGAGAGTCTTGAGATATGACATAACATAATCCTGAGATATAACTGTTTCTACCAAGATTACCCAAGAACTTTCGTAGGTATGTAGTGAGGCTAAAACATTTGTCGTTTGTAAAGCAATAGCCAAAATAACATAAAATTATGCAGCTTTATCTAATTTCATTAGGCAAATCACAAGATCTCTGATGCATCCAGGAAAACTTTATAAAAATATTCTAAGAGTTGAAAAGAGTGATTTTCCTGAGACTAAAACTAAATAAAAAAGTCAATAGCACAATTACAGAGATTTCCCTAAAGCACTTAAAATTTCTGAAACCTTTGTTTTATAATATTCCTGTACAAATTTATCAAGATGAGGCTGAGCATCTCTTCTAACTAGACAATTCTTCCAAAGGAATTCTACAGACAAACCAAATTATTTCCAATACCTTTTCTCAAAGGTGAATAAAACTTTAGAATTTTTGTTCAGGGACCTTCTGGGAAATCTCAAGGAGAAATTTAATGATAAAAGGAATATGAAAAGCTTTAATTTTTTTCTAAGAATACAATTATGGAAAGATAAACATCAGAAAAAGTTGTCATAGTGTATATGAACACAATATAGGGTTGGGGTGCTTTATGTACACAATGCTAACTTTTTGATTTAAAAACATTTAAACAATAAAATATTGAAATACAAGATGCACATTAACATGATGACAAATAACTTTAGCTCTTTATAAATATTATTCTCTCTGTTCTTCACTTGCTTTTATTTTATTTATTTTTATTAAAAATGCCAAGGATGGGGCCCTCCCTGGTGGCACAATAGGTTGGGACTCAGCACTGCAAGCTAGCCACAGCTGCTTCTGTGCAAGTTTGATCCCCATCCCTGGAGGTGATCCACAGACCTCTCCTAACCCACCTGCTGCTCCCCTCATCAGTGTATTTCATCAGTTGGCCTGTTCTGCTCCCCACTCTGTCCCTGGTGAAACCTCTCACTGGCCTGCACCTCTGGCTATACTCCAGTTCTGTATGCATAATTAAGTCTTTGTAAAACCTTTGGATTCTGATAGCAAAAAATAGGGTTACTATAGGGACTGGAAGCAGAGTTCCAGGGAGTACAATGGACCGTACTGGAGAGCTATTGGTACTTTCTGTGGTAGGGATAGTATATTAAGAACACATATGAAATATGGATGCAGTTCATAACAAATGGTGTTGTAAACCAATGTTACAACAAAGCAAAAATATCAAGGCTGTAATAAATTCAGTATAAAGCACTAAATTATAACATACATAATATTTACTAGCATATAAAATGAAAAAAAGAAAGGAAAAAAAACCATTCATATAGTAAAGGAGTTAACAAGTAAGCCAAGAAAGCAAGTCCATCAAGATGGGACAAACTTTACTAATTTTCTTAGTACTTTTCAATGCTTCTTAATAAATCAAGGCATGAGATACAATTAACTAAGGCAAGTAAAATTTACTTTCAAATTTGCCCTTTGTTTTACTTTTTCATATCATTGTAGTACTCAGGGTCTATGAGTTTGAAACAGTTTCTATTTTTTATACTTTGTTATTTCTGTTACCCCATTGCTATCTATGGTCAAATGAATCAGTTTCAATTTCAACTTCTAATATGGTTAATATTGGTACATACAGCACAAATAAAGTTTCTTTGGCGTCTTTATTGAGTTCCAAGATACTGTAGAAACATGGTAATCAGATAGAACAAAAAGGGGGAAAAGCCAGAAAATTCTATGTGTATATTTATGTGTGGTTTATGTGGTGGTTTATGTGTAAGCCACATATATAATATCATTACTCTGTCCTTAATGTTCATGGCATTGACTCAATCATTCATTTCATTGTGACTTCTAATCAAGTAAGTTCTATTATATAGAGAAAACTGTAGATAAAATTAAAAACCGTCTGTCTCCTAAAAAAACTGACAAAGCTTATATCTTTGTATAGTCATACACACTCATTCAAAGATAGATTTTTTTTTTTAGGCTCTTAAGCAAAGGTTGAAAACTTTAAAACATGCCTAGTAAGGCATCAAATGATCAGTTTTTCTTTTATTTTTGGTAGAAATAATCTGGATATGAATGAATATTCATTATGTAATTCATCTGAATAACATTCTATGTTTTTATGTTAACTAAAGATCTTGGGAATTATGTTCAAGTTGATATACTAAAAAAAATTAGCTGTTGAAATAGTTATTAGTATAATGATTCAATTTTGAATACGAATTTTGAGCATCTTCAGTATTGTACAGGAGTAATGTTAACTTATTTGATTATGTACCTAAGTAAATTTAAGCAAATCCAAGTAGAATAAAATGTTTGCCTATATTATACCTAACACTGATAGATTAGGGGAAACACTCTTTTATACCAAAATTATTAGACAAGTCTGATAGACCAAAGATTTTCCTTAGCCCAAGTCTTAAATTTCTGAAATGTTTCTGAGTTTCTATGAGAAGAATTTTCAAGTGTGCCACATTTAAAGTTTCTAAGCTAATTTCCTCATATATTTGGAATTTTATGAATATTTGATTTATATAGAAACATGTATATATGAATCCTATAGGTGGAACATAACAATTTTCTTTTAGAAAATATTTTAGCCTGGTAAATTAGTTCCCTCCAGATAGGAAAATATTATATAACCATACAAAAACATATAAGACCTTTCCCGTGTGTGTGTGTGTGTGTGTGTGTGTGATGTATGTAGAGAGAGTGAACTTAATTTCAGATTAAAACATTAGTCAACTGTCAAGACTAACATAAAAGTTGTTTTCTTGCCTGATGTATACATGATCCTTAATTTGAGCTCAAAATAGACAAGCAGAAAAGTAAAGAAATAAAATAATGAGTTTCTCTTGTTTCTCCCCCAAAAAAGAATAAATATGTCTCCTTCATTAATCCATTTACAGAGATCTCAAAGGTTAGGCCATAAAACTAAATTCCAAGCCATTGCTGTCACCAATGGTGAAAAAGTTTTTGATTGTAAATGTTTTGAAACAAACCCAAAATGATTAAAAGGAAAATATACAAAGAGACAGAAGATCAGCAGTCAAAGTTCTATTGGTACTGATGTACATCAGTAAATCAGTGGTGGGGATTTTATGGAGACTATAACCAGGGTGAGAAAGCACACGTTGTACAAAAATGAAAAGTGATACAAAAAATATACAAATATAAAATTAATAAAATAAACACATACTGATTTGTATAAAGTACTGGTGGTATGAAAACACACTATCTACATAGGCCCAAAATAAAGATACCCAAAAAAAAGTCCTGTTGCTACTGGAATTTACCTCTGGGAGTGAAGAAAAGAAGTATCTGGATTTAAATAGCCCATGACATGCAACACTTTCCCAGCTACAAAAGCTATTCAGCCATCAGGTGACTCCACTGGGAGCCAAGGTCGAACCTCCAAAATATTTACAAGATAATTGTTCCATAAGGGAGATAATCACAACTGTCATACATAAATAAAATGAATATGCCCAACTTCATTAATTATACAAGGAGTTAGGAACATATTAGAAAAAGTTCAAAGGAGAATTCAAAAGGAGACCAAAATTGGGAATAAGAAAATTTGAAATTTGTATTTTACAAATAGATTCAAAATTGCTCCCAGCAAAGGTTCAATATGCAATATTAATTGCATACCACTGGGCACAATTAATTTGCTTTTTATATACAGGAATATGTTATATGATTATTAGTTTTCTACAAGTTAAATGTAAAATAGCCCAAAGTTAAAAGCAGAAAAAAACCTTGGATAGGTGAGCCACATAGGACACCCCCTCTGAGATTTACCCATTTCAAAGCCTTTGCAATTTTACTGGCTGTTTAATTAAAGATGGTCCAATAGATTGTTAGTATAGTAAATTATCATGAGAAAAATACCAAAGTTTCTATTCTCAGATCTAAATTTCGTATTTCTTCATACAAAAAAAAAAAAGAGAACAAGTAATATGGGTGCTTTTGTACATGGAATATTTAAAAGGTCAAATGACTAATAATTTTCAGTAGTAGAGGTTGTCCTTTGTAGCATCTCCCATTTCTCTGTTATCTATACCACATAATGAATGCTTGTGCCCTTGAAAGTTCCCTAGGATGATAGACTATACTGAGAAAAAGAAAATGACCCAAAGCTGTTTTCACAGATTATAATTGAAGGACTGGAGAGAGGAGGGAAAACCAGTTAAAAGAGTTTGAAGTTTTAAGAAACTTTTCATGAAATTCACGATGGTGGGTGGTTCATTATAGGAATCAATTCTAAACTTGTGGCATCTTCATCTCACAAACTTGAAATCAATGTAGGATTCTTTTTAATTGATTATGCTGTGATGACAAGTGTTTGTAATGCCCTGCCCAGAGATTTGTGCAGCTAAGTGACCCCTACATTTCAAGCATGAACCTAGGACACTGCTTTGATCCTAGATGTTCTCACCAGTGTCACAACCCAGGGCTTTGAAGTTACTGATGGAATTATCACTGCTCCTGAGAAAAAGAATCTGGGGAGAAAACATGAAAATGTCTCCATTGCCACTGTCTTTTTAGCTCTGTTTGAAACATTATGGAAGCAAGAAGAAAGTTCGCTTTCTGACTAATTTGCATGGAATGTGCATGGATTTAACTAATAATATGATTTACCTGTTTTAGGCTGATCCAGGTGACAACTCTACAAGAACGTCTATCCAGACAGACCTCTACATCCAAGCTGTCATTTTTGACCACATTTCCAGAAGAAAGACTTAATTATTAACATGTTATACAGTTTCTGAATTACATGCTTAATTAAAATCATCCCTGCCTGTAACTGTAAGCAAATTAGAATACTAAATTCTGAGCTGAAAGGCAATAAAGGTTAATAAAGAAAGCCATAATCAAGACTTTTTTTTTTTGGTACTGATAGTCTGTTAATCTGTTTTGAGATTCTTCTAATTTTCCCCCTTTGAATACTAAAGCTGACTACAACAACTCATGAGAGAAAAACTTCTTGTTATTTGGAAGATACAATAATATTTTATAGCTCAAAATTTTCAAAACAAAAGTATTCCAAATCCTATTATTGCCAAATTTAGTGGCCATAACCTTATGCCATGTAGCATAAAATTATTGAATATTAATAAGGAAGTGGAAATTGAAATTTAATCATAAGAAATATAAATACAAAGTTTGAAATAGCCTAAACCTAACGCTGTAAATAATATCTGAACTGATGCTCAAAATGAATGAAAGTACTGATATTTTTATGTGGACTGTATGACCCCCATGAGGATAAAGTTGAGAAAATGAAAACCTAAAGCCAGAGAATGTTAGAATAATGAAGACTTCATAAAAAAAGAACTTGGTTTCCTAATGTGCCCTACAGATACAGAAAAGATATTATTCACTTACAATTTATATGAAAATTTGGTTTATTTCTTCCTCTTTCTATTCTTCCTTCACACCACCCCCTTTTCTCAATAATCCAATAGTAAGAGATTCAGTGGGGCCAAGCAATGTGGAAGTCTGTTCAGTGTGCAGGATGGGAGAGGCCAGAACAGAGTTCCAGTGGAATGAGGGACATGTATTCACGTAGGAAGTGAGACCTGGCACAAGGTGACAGAAATTAGTCACCTCAGCCTGATTGGTGTGAAATTAGAATTGGATGTACTCGTGCAACCTTATTGTTCTCAGTAGACACAATATCTGTAAATGTGTGTGTTCACAACGTCCCTTTGTCCACTGAGAGAGTCTCAGGGCAGCAACATCCACTAACAGGGACTGTATTAGCACCCAAATCTTAAGTTTCTCAACACCACTTTTCTAGCAAAAGAAAGCAGCAACCCTTGGGAAAAGAATTAATCCCACAGCCTACGGAGGGAAATTTCAAGAATCTGGAATATCTTTGTGCCAGGAAGCAAAGAAGTTCTCAAAAATGAATGGAATTCAACGAAGGGACACTGAACCCAGCTTGAAACAGTTTCCATTGGACACCATAATAAGTCATGATAATGACAAACATAAAATAAGCAACCATTATTTCATACTGATCTATGTGACTCAATAAATGAAAAGTTTGATGAGGAATGGAATGTATTCATGGTATCTCCCCACCAAATACTTAATACTTACAGAGCAAACAATGGAAAAGCCTGATGATACCACTTTCAGTAAGTGATTAGAGAGAATATGAGCAGCAATGAGCTGAATTCACTCCAAATGAGTAAGGTGAAATTAGTTTCATCTTTTGTACCTTTTGTAATAATTCTACCAAGATTGCATAATCTGAAACTCAGACAAAGCCAAATCCAGGGACATAATACAAAGTCTGAGATCAGTATGTCATGATCATGGGAAGTAGGAGAATAGACAGAAAAGGCATCCTCAGCATGACAAACAAATGCAACATGATTCGGAGCTGTAGCCTTATTCTGGAAAGGGAAATTGGGGACATTGGTAAAAATTGAAGAGATTCTGAATAATAGACAGTAGCAATGTAAAAGTGTTTATGTCCTGATTTGGATTACTATGTATGGTTATATGAAATAAGGTCCTTGGTTATAGAAAATTATACTAAAGCATTTTGGAGTTAAAGGTATATCAAAAATTTATATTTAATTCAGGGGGGAAATGATGTTTGTGTTGTAAGTTTTCTGTGAGTCTGAGGTTGTCTGAAATAAAATATTTGATTTACTTCATTTATAAAGTCAGAACTCTTGACCCTTATACTTTATATACAACATATAAATTTTATTGTACTATCTACAGATTAGTTGAAATTTTAGTAAGTACTTTATGAGTTCTATAGAATATTCAATTGAATTTCTTTAAATTTCATATATTGACTTTATTACATTTAATTATCTAGTGACTTCAAATATCCAACTAGCAAATAAGCTTTGATATAAAAATATTCATAAATCTAATAAACTTGTGAATGTAATATTTATGTCCTCCCAAGTCTCCGTGTGGTTTATGAATTTATAAAATTTTACTATAAAATCCTGTCTAATTATTCAAAGATCACATTTTAAGTTGGATTAGATTAATTCTGCTGTTGTCTAGTAGTCTAGAGTTCCTTGAGTGTTTTAACTTTTTTTTTTAAATCTAAGTATTGGTATTTAAAATGCATAAAACAGTTAATATTTATACAGCCTCTTCCTATTTTTAGTCTGAAGGTTTAATCACTAAAACAACAACCACTAAGTTGTATGTTAGCTTCTGAAGTGGATTAACTGATAGTACATAGTTACCAAAGATTTAAGTTATGAGGTATAACTATTTTGCTAGGGTTTGCTGATCTTTCAGAAGGCTATTGTGGCTTGGCAGAGTAAAAGGAGATGCACAGCCACACGTCTTGCTAGTGGCCTAGTGGAAGGGTGAGGCCTAGTGGAAGGGTGAAAACCTAAAGGGTGAGTGTGGCCACTGGTCAGGTCATTCAGTGCTATTGTTTTGAGAGTCATGTGTCTGCTGCTGTGCTGGAGCATCCCAAAAGCTCATGGAGCATCTCCTGTTGTTATCTTCTGTTGTCCTCATGAGCCACAACCTGGCTTATAGTCTGGCTGCTGAGTGTCACAGAGGTGGGAAGATGCCATCTTAGATAAGTGGCCTAATGTCCAAGAGAGGAGTTCTGCATCGTCAGTGGTAGGAAGATGCCTTTTTAAGTGCTTTTGTACAAGACTGAGTAACACTGGACACAGCTTTGGCTAAGGTAAAGACTGTTTTTGGCCTTAGTAACTCTTTGTTTATCACTGGTTTGTTGAATCCTTTTCTGGTTATTCTCTGGGCCTGAGTAGTATTGCTATTGTGTGTGCAGATAAAGAGCTTGGACAGTGACTGAACTGTTGGGCAGTGTCCTTGGCCAGATTAGTGCCCCTTGCTGCCCTGTATTAGGGCTACCATAACAAAATGCCACAAAGTAGGTGATTTTAAAATGGAAATTTACTTTATCACTGTTCAGGAGAATGGTAGTGTCAGACCAAGATGTCAGCTAGTTTGCTTTTTCCTTGAAGCCTCTCTTGAGGGCTCACTGATGGCCACCTCCTCACTATCTCTTCACATGGTCTTCCCTCTGTTCCCTCAAGTCAAGTGTCTCTCCATGTTTCCAATGTCCCTTCTTATAAAGTCAGAATGGATTAGAGTCTACTCTAATAAGTTCATTTTAATTTAATTACTCTCTTAAAACCCATCTTCAAATTCATCACATTTTGAGGAATTATGTGTGGCGGGAGGGAGAAAGGAGGGAATTGGAGGAGAAGGTAGGACTTTAACTATGAGTTTTGATGGGATACAATTTAGCCCATACCATGTAATGTGAATTATAAACATCCAGGAACTCTTTTTATCATATTTAAAACTTTTCAGTTGATGTTAAACCAAGTCTTGATTTCTAATAGCCCCAATACTTCACCTTTCTAAAGATGATTGCTTTGTTATCCAAGAGGTCTGCATTCAAAAGCCCTATTACTTCACTTTCTCTTCTTATTTGAGTGTAGCACTCACCCTGTTTTGTGCATATTCAATAAATCTATGTAGGATGTTATTCTGTTTCTGACTTGTTTTAATATTCTTTCTATCCGTAAAATTGCAACTCCTATATATGTTTAAATGACATCTGATTGCACTGAGCAGATCTCTTATGTGTTGCCTTGTTCTGTGGTCACAGTGCTAAAGGTTGAACTAATACAACTCCTGGGAATTCCCTTCATGGAATCTCATTAAAGTGGCTTTCACCCAGTAAAAAGGAGCAATTACACAACTGCCATGCACTAGTCTAGGACAAACTATAGAAGTAAGTTTAACCTGAAGCTAATGGTTGAGTGCAAGATCAGAGAGAGTATGTGAAATGTATGTAAGAATAGGCATAAGAGAAGTAGGCTGAACACAGGACCAAGGAATGAGTTAGCCAACCAAAAGGAAATGTAACAAGAAATTGAGCAATGCAATAAAGAGTAAAGAGCATTAAGAACCAGACAATTTGGCAAGCTGAATTGTTGGTAATTGGCCAAATCACTTTATCTCTCCAGACTTTGGCTCTTTAAGTTTCCTTCAAAATTCAAAACATCTATGATTTCTCCTTGCTGTTTTTCTAATCTATTTATAGACTCACTCAAGAGAATAGAATAGCCTTACAAGTTAAGTGTGATTTTCTCCAAGTGATAGTTTAAGTTTATTATCCTAGGCTCTGTTTATAAGTGATGAAAATCCAATTTGAGGTTTTTTTAAATAAAAATACCATTGTGTAGAAGGTGTCTCTCACAAGTAAAAGAAATATGTTTGTGTCTCATGGATAATCATAATAAAATACCTCCATTAGAACTCCACTTCCACTAGTGTAACTCATTACTGTGATCCTCTCTGTGCATAATTATTTCTACAAAACAATGTCTGTTTCTCCAGAAACAGATATACACATACCTCCTCCCTCCCTCTCACACTCTTTCTCTCTTCCCTCTCCTCTTCTTACCTCCCTTTTCCTCTCCCTTTTTCCAAAGTCCAGAATCCCCAAAGAAGGACACTTGACTTCAGGAGTCTATCACCCTACATTAATCTAAAATCTAAAATGGTTAGACTGTACAGAATTATGATCCCATAATTATAACAACTTTGAAAACCTTGAGCATGGGTTAGAATCTTCAAACAATCAGATACTTTTGATACAAAAAAAATGCATCCTGTTCAATGGAATAGGAAGAAATGGTAGGTGAGAGGAAAGGCAGAAATCTGGCACACTGAGGTAAATCATTGGAGCATCAACTCACTCTTCTTTG